CCACATGGGCCTTTATCACATAGTGCTAAAGGATATGTGAATTGTCGGCATGTTTGAGTATGACCATATTGTACTCTAATAAGAATGTGTTCTGATATGAATGTGATATGTGGCTAGCCAAACATAGAGGAAACATGTGGCACTTCACCTTAATGGCACAAGAGAACATTAACAATCTTGCCTAGCCTTATAAATATAATAACAAGAAAACATTTTTTTCCTAAATATTTCTTCTTCTTTGTCATTCTAGGGGAAATCTTAGTCATACATTGCTCAAAATCATCAACACATTCTCCTGCTACATTAGTCCACCATCAATATGGAAACTGGTTTGGGACTAGCACGAGCAACATCATTGCACCTTCGGGTCAGAAGGTTCTAATTCACTGGTCACTCATCCACTCAAGTTCAAAATCATAGAAACTTTTTGAACTGGTTTCTTTGGTCTGGTAGGGAATATCTGAACCTGCCTGTGAAGTTCAATGATGCATCTTCTTCTTTCAGATTTCTTGTAGAATGCCCTGATTTCTCCAACATTAAGGAGAAGGTCCCAAGCTAACCGTCCAAAATTGCAAAAGTACATCTCTAAGACCCAATAAAATTTTGAATTCGAATTTCAAAAACCAATTAGGAAAGTTATATGTGGCCATATGGATCACAATTTGTCGTTTTTTTTTCCTTAAAGTAAGAATTTGTTGGTCTATTTAAATGTGCCCACTATGTATCATGTTTAATGATATTATTTATCATCACATGTCATCTATAAGATTGATAATAAATGCAGTTACAGCCATAAATAATTAAAACTAACCTGATCACCACGACGTGGGTCAACACCCAATACTACATGCGCTTCAACCGTTTCAACAAACTTCTGCCGGGCATTGGCCTGGACAAAGGCTAGAAATCATACAGATATTCGTAAGTATGAAACTTTCCAAAAAATGAACTAGGAAACAAAAAGCAGAACAGAAGCAATTATAATACCAGGAATAGCCATATACATTATTAAAATAGAAAAATAACATATTCCATATGCAAGCCTAACAAGTTAAGAAATACTATTAGAAAAAGCAATAGAATAAGGTAAATTCAATTTGCACCTCTCGCTATAGCTACCCAATGCATAGGAATAAACATTTATTCCTCTAATTATGCAACCACTGTGGTCTTCTACTTGTCTACATTTGTCCTGCACATACTTGCTTATCTACAGTTTCAGCTACTTCATCCTGTTTTCTTTTTTTTCCCTTTTTTTTCTGAATGTTAACTTGGAACCTGGTGAGATCGGAACTCTAGATGTCACGTGGAAGTACCTGACCACCACTGCCTAGAGCCCTTCTCCAGTTCCAGCTCCATGCACCTTTCATACAATAATAAAAAGGTAAATACATACATGGGGTGGATTCAGTTAACATGCCTTCTAAGACTATTGGATTTTCAATTGCTTTGACATGACCAATAAATTGAGATTAAGTTAACATGCCTTCTAAGACTATTGGATTTTCAATTGCTTTGACATGACCAATAAATTGAGATAACGAAATCTCTGCAACTCTTCCATCACAAGAAAGTATGCAAACTATTTTCTTGACTTTTCAAAGCTCATAAAGCTACAGAACTCTCCATTTTCTTCTCATTCAATGAGGTATGCTTGCCCCAAATCACTTGTTGGTGGACAAACACATTTTGCTTTCAATTGGATTCCATAGGCTACAGCTACCATATGCATAGCTTAAAAACATTCAGTTTCAGGATATATGTGAATACATTTCAAAACATAGAGAAGAATACTGCACTATAAAAAGAAAATTAGGGAACCCTTTTTCTTCTTTTTTTTGTTGCTGCATAGGACACACCCATGATGCCCATGATAACACTCTTACTGTGAAGTTAATATGTACAGCACCCACACATTCATTCATATTACATAATGCTTATCAAGAAAGACATACAAAGGAAAGAAACAAGCTTCAAGGTCAATTTAGCAAGAAAGAGAGTTAATACTTAAAACATGCTTGCCTTAATGGATTTGGCAGTCCAGGCTAGAAGAAGACTTCCAGGCATGTAACCTGAAGTATCCTCCCTGTCAACCGGAAGTTTAAAGGACTTCTCAAGGCTGGCAGGGCCCTTGTATAGGAGCTCATTAACATCCTCGAGGCAGAGGAGTGAAGGTGCATTGCAGAAGGAAGACCAGATAAATGCAATGTGGCGCAAGCGGTATAAGAGGCAAGTAACAAATCCCTTATGCACGGATTTAGGTCAAATAGGGAAATAGGATACTATAACCATATTTGTAGCCAAAAGAACTCATGAAAGAGAAGGGTCTACAAGCCCAGAGTAAGGGTCTACAGAAAAAGGTCGTGGCAGGCACGGGAAGTTATTGGTGCAGAAAGCTAGGACATAATCATAGGAAAGGTAGGGTTAATGTGTATAGAATATATGTTTATGTGTGTTTCTAGTTGATGGTAGCAAGCACAAGGGCCATGGCTGTCCAATGTTGATGTAGATTGTTGGTTATCGACCTATTGCATATTGGCATTTTGATGAGTAATGAAATGCAACTTAAGATAGATTTTGGGCAACTGTCAACCTTATAAGGTTGTAGCATTTCAATTCAATTTTCAGTTCAATTCATATATAAATTTGAAAAAGCACAACACAATAACACACAGAAGTCCAAAAGATATATATTCATATGGTAAGTTTGGGATCCAATCAATGCCCCTATGAATACGCTAGAGGGCATAAACCCTCTTAATTCCCATTAAGGCCTCCTGGGTTTCTAGGCGCTCAGCCATCTAGGTGCCCACATCCGAATTTTTGAATACTGGTCCTTTGGGAGACATCATATGCCCCAAGAGATGAGAAAGAATCTCATCTCAGTCCTAAGGGTACCCCATGCCAAGATAATGACTATGGGTGATGAAGTGGAAGCCAGGGTTGGTCCTTTTTTTAAGATTCCTAGGTGTTGTCCACACTTAGATAGCCCAATTTCTTAGACCACAGAATGGCATGTAATGTACCTTATGGTCTTCCTCAAAACATGTAGCAAATGTATCTTCTTAAAAACTTTGCGGTCTTCCTACTCGACTAACCCGAAAAATCAAATTTAACATAATTTTCGGACACTACTGATGTGAACTTGTTGGTTAAACCCTAAAATGCAGTAAGAAAAACTTCATTTCTCCAACCTCAATGACAAGGCAGTCCTTGAGATTAGAGACGCCTGGTTATTGAGGAAGAAATTCCTCAATAGTTACTACAACTTGAGAAAAGCAGTTTCATATGACAAGGCAGCGGCGAGGTTGAGAGCTAATCTACTAAACTATTGTCTCTAAGAAAGATTGAGTAAGCTAGTGCCAATAAAAAATCATTACCTTTCCAAGAGAACACTCCAAAAGGATTAAGATGAGAGGGAATACAAAAACCTGGGAGATAGTTTTTCATAAATCCCAATGGTGGCTCAAGATGTTTCCACAGTATTGATACCCCAAGCCCCATGATACCTTGACAAAGGTTATGGGCTTATTGAAATACCAATGGTGGCTCAAGATGTTTCCACAGTATTGATACCCCAAGCCCCATGATACCTTGACAAAGGTTATGGGCTTATTGAAATACCTATTGGCAATAAAGTAATTGCAGGAGTGTCAAGGTCAGTGTCAGTGACATGGTAAAATGGATAAACAGATAACCAGATAGTGAACCTGTCATTACCTTGCTCTTGAACCAAAACCCTTGTCATCTCAAAAATTGAGATGCAGGATCTGGAAGAGGCAACCTATGTTCCTGTGATATATGTCATACTAGATGCAGTGTACATTGTAAAATATTTCATGTCTCTTGGTTTTTAGAAGGTCGTTAGGTGATCTCTTCATAAAAACTATGAGCTAGTGTGTTTTTCTATGGGTTTTTTATTTTGTACCAAGCCAGGGAAATATGCCCGGTGGGGGAAAAAATGGATCTTGGATTTTCTGGAAGGCATAATCATAAGCATAAGCCAGATCTCGCATGTGTGCAATGCTAGGCACCTTGCTTAACTTGTTTTTTTCCCAAAAGTCAAATAACGTAAGACCCAATATATTGTAAACTAGTTGATGGAATCCTCAGATAACTATAGGGAAAAAGAATTGCGTAGAAATTACTATGTTATTGGTTACCACTGTATAGATGCAAGGCTACATGGATCTTTGTGAGTATTCAGTGGGACCTGTAAAGTGTGGTTTAGGGTTTATGCTTGGTGGACATCTGTTTCTTCGAGGTTGAGAATAGTTGCAAGTAGCATTGGCACATATGTGTTAAATTCCATGGTCTCTTGAGAAATACAGCCAAGAAGGCAGCTCAGTTGAACGCCAGTGATTTGAGGTGTGAGCCCAGTCAGAACAACTCTGTATGAGTTTTGTGAGAACAAAACATGTGATTTGTATGGCTGGAATAGTCCAATGTTTCCAGACCAGGTGTGATCTAGGAGACCTATGTGATCCATGTACTATTAATGAAAATCTGGTGAAAATCCAAGTATCTTGTTAAGTCTGTGAGTCATGATCTGCATGCTGATTTAAATCATTAAGTAAGAAACCTGATACGAGATGGTGATATTGAGGTTTCTTTCTTTCGCATTGACACATGATAGCATATCCTTTGACAAAAGGATTGAGTGGGAGTTTGGACTCCATGTGAAAGGCCCAAGTACCCTAGTTTGGTTGGTGCCATTAGGTTAAATAGTTAATCATGTACATGAGATGGGATAGAGAGCTAGTAAGTCCATGTGACTCTACCAGCCTTCGAAGGCCAACTCGGAGATGTTGGGGTTTGTGGCCTTTAAATGTATGTTAACACGGTATTTAATAAAATATCTATTGTGTTTTCTACGTGGATGTGTCAATGCTTTATATTTATCGATTACTCTGTGTTTGAGTGAGAGTATGCTCTACTTGGGTACCTGAAGCAAGGAATAAGTAGGAAGTTGGGTGCTATCTAGAGCACAATACTTCGCCTTGGCATGCAACTAGGGCTTGGCTAGAAGAATGAACCTGCAACCCAGGCTGGTTATGTTTGGTCCCATGATGTGCATCGCCGAAGAGGGTCTATGGGTACCTTCTCAAGATCAGCTGCAATTAGGGTGGATATTGTTTGGTCAGCCAAGAGATAAAAGAGGCTTTGGTCGGCCAAGAGATAAAAGAGGCTCCTGCTATGTAGGATAATTAGAGGCTGTGAGGAGAAGTGTACCTCGGCAATGGAAATCCGACACAGCATGTATGCTACTGGTTGACTCAGATTTGTGTGATCTTAGTGTTTTGTTGGGTCTATTTGACTGTTAGAATGCATTTGAGATAAACTCCCTCACACAAGGAGGAAACCTAGGAACTCCTATACAAGAACACTAACAGGAAACCTAGGAACTCCTATACAAGAACACTGAACTCCTATCAAACCTTGGCCAGATTTGATAGGTTACGGGGCCATTGCATAAGAGACATGTGGGTTATGGGTCTTGGATTAGTTTAGGGTCTAGATACGGTCCTAGAGTAGTCTTGGAGTGGCTGGTATCGAATCTACTTTTAATGCTAGCATACTCTTCCATTTTTTTCATTCCAAAGGTTTTTTGAGGAAAATAAATTAATCTAACCACCAAAAATGTTTTGGGTGAAATTTCTATTTAAACAGAGGATCTTTTTGAAATAAAACATTTATTTATAACAAAGACCTTAAAATTTTTAGTTTGTTTTATTAGGAACCATATGGAGAGAATTGAGGGCCATGTGGATGGCCCATAGTGGGACAGGTTTTGTGTCCATGTGGGAAACGTTCCTTTGACCCACATGGACACACTGGATATGGGTGCCACGTGGAGATTAAAAAGTCAAAGGGAATTGGGGTGGGGCCCACTCCATCTCCTAGGATGGACACCATAGTCTTCCACCCTAGGCCGGATCAATGAATTTATAAATTCAACCAAAAATAACAAACAAAATTAATTAAATTATAAATCAATCTTTTATCATTTATAGAATTTCATTGATTTTGAGTAATTTGTAAATTCAATTAATCATAAAAATGTCTACGACTCATCTAACCTGTTGAAAGGTATCAAAGTATATTCGCACCAGTGTTTTAAAATGTGGGATGCGGCTTGATGCAATCCAGATGCGGGTGTATCACCTCGATGCCGTCAATAAATATTAACAAAAAATCTAAAAAATATATGGCTAATGCATAAAAAAAATATGGAAGTGATTTATGTGATAGTAGACTTGTAATATTTTCACGTGCTTGCAATCCATACTTAGTTGAACCAGTCAATAACTAGTGGACTTTATTTATTGTTCATGTTTTATACATTCAGTAAATATTCACTATGTCATTACATTGCTTGCCAATTTAAGCACAGCAACTATCTTTCGTGGATGCTTGCAAAGGAATGTTATGCAGCATTTTCATGCGGCACTATTGCTTGGATGCACGATATAGAGCAGAAGATAGGGTTAGTTTTTGCTTCCACTAAATTACAAAACAATGTCTATTGATGATTGTCTCAGTCAGACTTCCCATTAAACTCTTCAAATATTTATGTGTCGATTTTCAGAATATCTATTATTGAGAAATTCCTCCTAGAGGAAGAACCATCCTGCTGCCGAAGCTTGGTCATTTGTAGAAGTATCTTGGTGAAACTTTACCAAAACTTCCTCAAATCAACACCCAAAAGAAAAAATCAACAACTAAAGATCAACCAAGACAAAAATCTAAAAATTTCACAAAAATAAATTTCCGCCATTTTTTTTCTTGATTGATTTGATGAAGTAAAGGCCACAGATGTGGCTTTTTTTGGTTATTTGGGGGGTTTCAGGGCTCAAATGGTCAAAAATACCCCTTCTCGAGGGGGTTTTTTCCACATCACTTGCTGATCGCATGTGTTTAAGGCCATGCGGGATGCAGCCGCATATGTGCAGAGATGCGGCGCATATACGAGTGCATCTCTCCAATGCGCATATGCGGCCTCATGCAATGCGGTGCCCAGCGCATAATGCATTATACGGCCGCATATGCGGCGATGCGGCTGCATTTTAAAACCATGATTGGCAGTATCTCATGAACAAACTAAAAATGGATTACACAAAAAAATTCTTGGTACAACCACCAATTCATCCTGGTCCACAAAATACAAGTCATTTACTATAATTTGCTTCAACCAAATAAAGATCAAGGATTGTCCAAAAATTTATAAATCCAATGTCAAATTGGATTGTGGGAAATCACTGAGAAACAAGAACCTGTGTTCTCAAAATCTCTCCTGCGGTTATGCCTAGTATGAAACAAGTCAATCATCCACTATGCTAACTTATTGATTCAACATGTTGCTAGTGTTCCTCCATTGATCAAGAATTTCAGTCTTTAGTAAGTATCATAAGCATCTAATAAGAAAGGTTTCAATTTAGTGAACAATTTGAATATCTATTGATTCCAATAACCGATTGCAGAGTTGATCTTCCATTGTGAGAAGGCACCCCTTCTCCCAAAGTTATGGGGCTATTTGCAGAGGTCCTTAGATAGAGTTGTCTTATGCCCAGTGATCCAAAAAATGGCCCACCTAACGCCGAGGCGAGCCTGGCAGGCCTGGGCGGGCCAACTAGGCACCCAGGGATTTGGCCCACCTAGGGGCGAAAATGGCCCTCAAGTGGGGGCAGGCATTTAGGTCATTTTTTTCCCCAAACAAGGGGAAAGGGAGTTCTAAACCCCTAAAACTATTTTTAGCATTAAGAGACCCAAAAAAACTCAAGAGAAAATCAAATTTAGAATTTGGTGGGATTGAACTTTGAATTTGAAGTTCCGAAAATTGATCCAAACATCATCCTTTTTTTTGGGATTCAATTTCATCCATTTTGGAAGCTTATTAGAGGTTATTAGTGAGCTTTTGAGAATGGCAAACAACGCAAACATTGAAGATTGAAGATTGACGATCGACCATAAAGGTTAGTCAAGAAACTTCATATTTGAGATTTTTATTTTGTGCTATTTCGATGTCTTCTTTAGTCTTCAAGTCTACATTTTTTTTTCTTATTTCCTCCTCTTACGTGATATGATGTGCTGATGTGTTATTGTCATATACTTTGATTTGGATTTGGCATGATTCCACATTAAAACATATTAAAAATACCTGAATATGCATTTATATACAAAATCTAGACCTAAAACAGGATTCCCAGGCACCCCTGCCCCTTGCTAAACCTGGTCCACCCAAATCCCTAGGCACTAAACCTGGTCCACCCAAATCCCTAGGCACCCACCTAGGCACCACCCGGCATTTTTTAAAATACTGCTCATGCCCCCAATCATTACCTACATATCCACTTGTGCTGGTTGTTGAAGGTCGATTGCGCTTTTCCTAGGAGTATGGCGTCGATTACTTCAGCACCATAGCACCTAGTACTTGGACATTGACTGAAGCCATTTCCGCTACCCTTACAGCTAATCTAGCTTCTCCCATCCCTCAAGACTAACAAGGGCTAGTACAAGAATATTCACCTATTGTCCATCAATCATGCCTTTTGGCTTGATCTTAAGCCTAAAAACATTTTATATTTGAATGTATTCCATGTGAGAATCTTATGGAACAAAATGTATACAAAGATCGATGATCTACCATGTATGGAGGAAGCGTGTAGCAATAAACAAACTCACTTTGTTAGCTTGTCTTACCTGGCTGGCTTGGCCAGTTGACACCCCTAGATGGGAATGTGCCCATGTATGACAAGCGCAAAAAATATAGGAACTTGCAGTGTGCTCATAAGGATCTCACTATACATGCAAATACTCACCACGCACCCAGAAAATATTTAATGTCTCTTTGTTTCATAAATCAAGAATGACTTCCATCCATCGTTCGCAAAATCGCCCAATCTAACCACTAACCACCCGGTTAGATCGGAACTGACCAGTGGCCGGCTCCGGTTTTGGGCGATTAGGGTGATCAACCGGTATTAAAAAAAAAATTCAAAAAAAATGTATATAAATTCTAAAAAATAAGGAATTTGATTTGTAATACATTTTTAAATTCTTTACATTATGGTAAGATTAAAAATTGTTTTGGTCATTAATACTCACTTTTATATTTTCCCATCTATTTTAGAAAAAATTAAAAATAGCCCTTCGAAAATATAAAATGGGTTAAAATCCAATTTTTTTTAATTAATTTTCAACTTCATTTGAATGTGTTTGTTTTAATCATTCTTTATATGTTTTTCATATTTTAGTAGATTTTTTTTTGTATTTTTTAAAAAAATTCATCGCTTTTTTTACCCCCCAGGACTTGCCCGGTTAGACCGATTGAATCGGCCGGTTAAACCGCTTCCAGGCCCATGTCCTGATTAACCATTCAGGTTCGAACACTGCTTCCATCACAAGTGCTGTTGCATTAACAAGAACATCAACAACAACAATGATGATACAGAGCAGACACAATGCACGCACTACATTTTTAAAACAGCCCTTCAAATCCATTTAACGGACTTTGAGTGGAGGACTAACACATCCCATCCAGCAAATACGGCAGATGGCTTGGAATGTACTAGTAAGAAGTATGTCCTCTTAACTCTATTGGAATGTACTAGTAGTTGCAAAGTTGAGGTTGCAGGTTCAAACCAAGGTTATCAATAATAATGACAATATTGATGATGACAAACTGGAGCCAATTGGGGAAACTCAAAAACACTGACCTTGACCTCTCTAATGGCCTCCTGCAACTCCATGGGGGTCGCGGGCTTATTCTTCTCCACCTTGATCAATGTCGGAAATGGAACCTTTTCCTCCTCCACTCTCAGAACCCTTCTTATCCTTGTCTCTGCATCAATCTTTCTACCTTTACTCTCAAAGATCAAAGTATCTTCCTTTTCTTGTTCTTCCTCAGCCCTATCTCTCCTCGGCTCCTCTTTCCCATCCCCTTCTCTCTCTACACCATCATCTGCGCTACTCCTATCTTCAGGAAGAGGAGCAACCTTTGTAGGATAAGAAATAGGAGAAATATTTGGAACATTCTTCACATAACGAATGTCTTCTCTGGTCCATCTTCGAGCCTCAGTCTCTGCATCTTGTTCAGCTTTGGACTCAGATTCAGGTTCAAAGCTTTGAGACACGAAATGCCGAGGTTCTCTTGATCTTCTAGAGGTGGTTTTTGGGGCTTCTTCTACTTCTTCGTGTGCATGATCTTTAGGTTTTACAGGGTAAGAAACGGGTTTCAGTGTTGGAGAAACCCTAGGTGGTTTCTCAGGAGCTTCCGGTTCAAGCTTTAATTGAGGGTCTGAATCAGAAGATGAAGAGAAAGGGGCGAATTGAGACCCAAGACCTAAAGAAAGAGAAGATATGCATTGATGAAACCCTAGATTAGAGGAAATGGGAGGAGTTAGACGCTGAATCCCTGGAAATTGAGAGAAAGAGAAGTAAAAGAGTTTCAAGGTCGAAAGCGAGGAGCAATGGCGGCGAGATTGGTTGAGGGCCAGTTTCAGAGCCGCCATGGCATCGAGCTCACATGCCGTTCAGCTGCACTCGCCAGTACATGCAAGGTTATTGGGTTTAAGCTTTCCCACACAGAGGGTTTAAGTTGGGTAAATAGCATACTCACGTGGTGTATAATACACATCCACGCGTGAAATTTTATACATCACCGGTTCACTTTAGGTCAACTCTCATCGAGATCCCACTAGCGTTGGTTGACCATATGATCGGATGGAACCGTTGGAAGGGTTCAGATTTGGACTGAATTAAGGACCTAGCAGGTTGTCTTCCTGTTCCATGTTATGCCATGTGTACATAAAAGGGGACTGATTTTATGCAACGGTCTATAGCAACAACTTTAGAAAACTATGTTACGACCTTAGATCCTCTAACTAACATCAGCCTTTCATTTTGATAGGAATGATTCTTAGATCTAGATCTTAACAGGAAATTTTTTTTTCCAATTATTTTAGATAGCTTTATTATTATTAGATGGACAATGTTACAAAAAAAAAAAAATGATTTTGAGTAGCTACAGGCTAAGATCTTGAAATTCACCAAATGAATGGTCTAGATTTGTTGTTGTGAAGGATTCATTTTAAAACATATATAGGATTCAAATTTAACTTTTTTTTATTATTACTTATTATTGAGATGAAGAGAGAGTGTGTGTAAAATTTTGGATCATACAAATACTACAAATATAGTATTTTAGAAGTATGTTTGCATCATTTTTTTGGATAACTGGGGAAAAGGCCCATTTTTTTCATTAATAAAAAAGGGATAACACTTTAATATACAACCTATAATAGTGCAGTTGTACTAAATTATGTACTAAAATAAGAGAGAGAAATTCAAACGAACGACTATGTCAAATTGTGGCTCCTATATAAATCCATCATTTCTTAGCGAGGGCAATGTATTTTAGGTATGACACAATGTGAATGTCTTCATAACCTTGCAAATCATTTCTATAGCAAATCATTCCTATACTATAAATTTACTTTCTAAAGTCTAAAGAAAGTTTAAATTGCGATGAGATAATTGATTTTGATATGCACACAAGTCCATAATTTTTGTTGTTTTGACATGATACTACCACAATGGTTGCATCATACTATAATATAACCGATTGTATGAAATCTCTGGCCTACATAAATAATATACTTTTTACATATGGGTGTGGTTTGTGTAGAGCATAGGCTCTAAACAATCAAATTAGAGCCTACTTTCAACTAGTGTCAAGAAATGTGGTTTCAATACTGTAATTCTTTGTGATAGCCTTAAAATATATTTTTATATTTATTTATAAAGTTTAAAGCTTCAAAAATATTGTAGATTGACAGATCTATGAAAACTTAAAAATCTTGAAAATTGACGGTCCAAAAACGTGTTGCACAATACACAAATTCCAAACCTTAAAATCCATTTTTTTCTCATGTTTATGCATCTTGATGTCGAGATGATCAATTTGAGGATATTTGGGAATCAAAAGAACCTCCTCTAGTGAATTCTTTTTTTGTAGGCTCTAATTTGATTGTTTCGAGCCTCGGCTCTATATAAACTTTTCTCTTTACATATTATAGAACATATAAAATATACTTTTTATATATCCATCTCAATCCTACCATTACATCTGGTATGAGGCTAATGATCCGAACGCATCCGACCTTGGTCTAGGACGGGGTCTAATTGGACCCAACCTATTTAAAT